GGTGGGGGGGGGGTTACCTTGGTTGGTGATTGGCTAATGGTTACACAAGCAAAAACATCGTGATGACATCATAAAGTGGCCAAAATCTGATCAGCTCATTTTCAGACAGGTTTTTATATAAATGGATCAGGACAGAAAGTGAGCGAATCTTTTTTCCTGAAACTTTCATAATCTCTTTACACAGAGGGGACACATGTTTATGTATAAAAGACATGAAGAAGTGGATTTTGCATAATAGGTGACCTTTAAATGTATGTCCTTGAATTACTATAAAAAGTTGTCTAACCTATAATGTAAAGCCAATAAATCTTTATAAAAAAGTGCAAGCAAGCCTTACTTAACAGAATATAAACTACATTGCTGTCACAAAGTTGCTTTACTACACCAAATGTGTCGAGGGAGTGGTTTATTAGACGAAGCTCTCAAAAAGGAAGCATCAGGTTTCATTAGAGTTTTATCTGTTTAGTACAACAGCACCTTCCACCACTGGATTGAGATAAAGGGCTACCTTTAGGGTGATACCAGGAACTAACATTAAATATTAAAAATATATATTATTATATGTTTAAGATGCTGCACACGGCACCTTCAAAGGGTGAGTCCTTATTACGGGAAAGCCACATCTTTGATCCCTCACAAAAGGAGAGATTTTGTCAACTTTTAGTTTCTATGATGTAGATTCTGAATCCAGCCAATGCATGAACCATTCTGAATAAGCCTATTATGTATCAATAATATGGTGTGGTCTATGCCTTCCTTCACTGGAATTTGAAGCAGTTTAATCCCCAACATCACTCAACCTTTTCTACCCTGCAATTACTGTTACTGGCTACATACCAAGGTTCAAATTCTATAAGAAAGAAAGGCTTAAAGTCAATGGTAACTGGCAGCAGAAGCCCAGAGGCACACAGCTGAGGAAAATTGAAAAGAAGGTTAATTACGCTCATTTGAGTTCACACAATCACACACTGCATACCTGTAGTGATTGCTCTATAGAAGACATCCATTGGCCCAGAGCCATTGTCTCTACCCTTTACCCAACCTGGGTTCATTGGAAGTTAAATTATTCTGATGACGTTCTAACAATTTTTAAACTGACTTAAAATAATCTAAAATAGACAAAGCATATAAATGTTGTCCTAAAGGGATTGTATCTCTCACACGCAACTTGGTACTGTCTGACCAGCTTCCCGCTTTCCTTTTATTTTTTTTATTTTTGTTCTCACAGCTTGGTTATTCAATCTTCTTTTTTTGCTTAACAGTGTGCGTGATTAGTGCATAATATACTGTAAAGTCAATATTTTGTGAAGAAGATATCATTTATAGTTCAATGGCACATTGTTTGGCATGTATCGGCAAGAATCTTCCACTATTGGGAAAGGGAGGAAATTGATGCAGAAGAAAGAATACAAACCAGGAACGTTTTTTATTGTTTCTTTTTTTATGATATAGATAACACTTTTTGTCCGGCCCTTCTTCACAATGTCTTGTCTAGTCCTTAAACTTCCTGTCACATCCTCTCCTGTAGCTTTACCCCCTACCGACTTCATCACTTTTTCCTGCACTCCTCTTCCTGTCAACCACTACTTTTCAATGCGTTTCATTTCAACCATACTTCTAGCTCACTAGCTTCTAAAAAACGTCCTTTGGAAACTATATATTCAGTACGTTATGAGAAAATCCTGAGTCTGTCTAGACATAAACACACACATGTAGGCTGGAACATTTATTGTACTGTACATCTCTTTCATCCTTTGAATCAAGAGTCAGGAGAGGAAGAAGGCGACTGGTTGGAAATGTGGAAAGGTCCAGGGGAAAACTAATCAAAGAGTGCTGGCCTTGTGCAGAACCACTGCCACAGGCCTGCTCTTTGTAAAGCCTTCCTCTGTCTCAACAGAGGGCACATTGTGAGGGGGGGTCAAATGCAGAGGAGCTGTGTTGTGTAAAGCTGTGTTGTTCGGTTTCAGAATGGAAATTGAGATTGTAAAAAGCCAAAAGGGATTATTGTATGTAGCAGAAAAATACAGTTCTACTACTTGATGCTAATGAAAGCTGCAGTGCTCATATCACCCCACAACCTTCAGAATATGTACTCCTGGGAAGTATCATTTGATTTATGTTAGGGCTCTTTTTTCTGGTGAGTAATCGTTTACATGTATTACATTTTAAGAAAGTCAGTTTTGTTAATGATTCGCCTCCTATTGATAAAAGTAAAAACACATAATGCAACAGGTTGACAGGTTGAGAACACCTCTTCAGCCAATGCTTCATTTATAGACTTGTTTTTGCAGATTCATAATTTCTTATGTCTTATTTCATATTTCTTGTGTGTTCAATCCATTTTGGATTGAGCAACATTTGAGTTAAGTTTTAAGAAAAACAACTGGAAAGAGCAGCTTCTCCTATTGGCACTACAAACCATTATCAAAACTGGCCTCACCTAAATATCTTCCTTACATGATCAATAATATATATGTTATAATGGGATTTGAATATGTTAACAGAGGAGTTTCAGGTTGCAAAAACCTTCCTAAATATCCTGGAATTAAACACGTCATTTTTTCTTAGAGTAAGATTTGATATGGGATTAAACATTTTTCAAGGATGTAACAATCAATACACTTTCATTTAACCATCAGAAGGCCAGGAATCAATATTTTCAACATTTAAAATGATTTCTCACTACACAGTCCTTAATACTTCTTTTAAAAGTTGAAGAGTTTCATCCTTTGCCCCTTGGCTGATTTATTTAGCCTAGCGCGTTGTCTGTCAATGTCCGACAGTCACAGCCTGTCAGAATGATGCATTTATTAACCATATCATTAATTAAGCACTTTAATTCTAAAGTCTTACAATACTGTGTTCACTGTGGGAATTACAACTTTAAACCTGGCATTGTATTGTATAACACTCTACTCCTGTTAGCTACATATGCCCCAAATGACCAAGGAAAAATACCAAAAATAGGCAATAATCAAAGCAAGATAAGAGTCGATCTGCTCATCAGCAGGTGAGCAACCCAGGCTGCTGACTATAGACTGAAGTCGTTTTTTAGTTGTTAGCTTCATTTGACCATGGACAGCATAATGAGCACATATTGTTTTCAGCGATAATCTTGCATTCGCAGACATCTAAGCTTGTAAAACTCGAGGTTAAGTGTGTCTCACATTGGCGCACACTTGTAAGCAGCGCAGGAACACATTCTGTTGTTTGTTGTAATGTGCACTCATCCTTTAGAGTGTCTCTTCTTCTGGAAACAATCTAGCAGTTTGAGGAAATTGTGAAAACATACCAACAACCAGTTAAAGGTAGGGTATGTAATTTTGGAGAAACCAGCTCGAGTGCGCTAGAATTTGAAAGTACACAGCCGGAGAAAATCTGCCACTTCCTTATAGAGCCCCTCCTCCAACACACACGAACGCGCACATGACCAATGAGGGCACGAGATAAGTTTGTGCACAGATGGAAGGCTGACAGGCAGGTAGGCCATCGCTAAAATGATTGGTCGTACTTTTTACAGCGCTACGGCTTCCACAGATGAAATGTTTTAATGTATTTATTGTCAAAGCATTTCATATATTCATTGCTATCGGGATGTTAAGAGCATTCCATGGAATATAACAAAAAGTGTTTCTGAAATAAATGACATGAACCCCAACTTCAATGTATCTGACATGGCGTAGTATGTGCGTCAGAAAATATTTTGGTTGTCAAATGAAGGCGATAAACTTTGCATGCAGTGCCCTCTGCTTCCTGAGGCAGTACACTCACTCTTCTTCTTCTTCCTTTTATTACAAGGTTTTCTATTTCTTGCTCTCTCTAAAATAGTGACTCTCTCTCCTCACCCGATAATGAATGCAGGAACTCTCCTTCATATGTGTTTAGCGGCGCCTGGAGACTGGTGTCGGCCCCTGGTCCCTTAATTATTAATTTGACGTTATGCGCCGGCCGTTTGATCATCTCCACATATCTGTATGATTCAGATTTAACGAGTTCCCCAGGAGACTCTGTTTTCTTTATCTTTTTTTCTATCAGGCTTGTTGTTTTTAACCTTCTGCAACCAAGACACGAGTTAAAATTCTAAGCACCACGAGTTCTCTCAAAAATATGATTGCTAAGATTTTTAGTGTGCGTGGTGAAATTGAGAATAGAACAACTGATTGTGTCAATCCTATACTCTATTAACCAGAAAAATCACTTATTTCTGAACACTGTCAAATGTCAAATTAGAGCAAAACCCCTCTTCCACTGCCTCATCTTCCTAATGCCCTTTTCTTGAAGGGGTTTATTGTACTGGTCGTAGCCAGATTCTATTTTCCCTATGGAGAGATCTGTGAGCTCCTAATCATCAGCATCTTGGCACAACATTAGCATATAAATTCACAGCGCTGTGATTGATTTACACACAGAATTACACTGCACTAAAATCAAGGTACTCAAAGAGGGAAAGCAACGTTCTTCAATTCAAACCAAGTGTATACTGCTGGGGATGATTCAGGATGACGACGTGGCCTAATAAAAAATAAATAAAAAAACTGCCGTCACAGAAAAAGAGACCGGTTCAATGGCCTAATCCCAAGTATCCCAGAGTTAGGATTCTGATTTGCTGTAGATAGGGAGCAATCTGACTTGTTTGTCTGTATATTCCAACTGTCTATCTAGCTATTTATTATGTGTCTCTCCAAAACTCAAACTGGCTATCTCCCATCATTTATTGTATTCCAAGACATCGCTCTGCTGCAAATCAGTGTGTGTGGGTGTGTGGTATCGAGTGTGAACAAGAAGAAGACGAAGGAGAAGAAGATGAACCTTTATTAAAGAAGGGTTTGTGGAGTGGAAAGCGTGTGGCATTATAGAGACCTGTGTGTGTTTCTGTGTGTGGAAATAGGCCTTTTTTTACGTGTCGTTTCAGAAATGTACTCCCAATTACTTTGTCTTATGTGCTAATGTATTTTTCTCTTTCTCCCTCTCTCTGTCTGTCCTTGCCTTGTCTCCTCTAGTATCGCCACGGTTCACTAAAGTTCCCGTAGACCAGATTGGCGTCTCAGGGGGCGTGGTCTCCTTTGTGTGCCAGGCAACGGGGGACCCCAAACCAAGGGTTAGCTGGAACAAGAAAGGCAAGAAGGTCAACTCCCAGCGTATAGAGGTGAGTCGAAGACCCCTGCTGCACTACATCAGTGGAATCACATGCAATACGTATACAATGAAAATCTAATGTGTCCCTTTTTTTTAACCATTAATAGCCTACACATGATTTTCGAAAGCTGCCCTATACCACTTTCACACAGGCAGAGCCTTCTGTTGCAGCTGAGTTCCCAGACTGGCTTAGAATACATATAAAAGGGTGTTTTTGTCTTACATAGAGTTTTAGACAACAACTACCAATTTCTCATGGACAGGACTCCCTAACCTCTGAGCAATGTGCAGGTTCACCAATGGTTACAGTCGCTCAGTCACGCAATGAAGACCCTCTCATTCATCCCTCTCTGTCCTCTTTGCGATTCACTGACTCTGTCTTGGTTGTCACATTTTGTACAGGACTGGTTATTTTTCTGCATAGCGCCCTGTCTGTGTGAATGCGTCTGTCTGTGCGTTATTCATGACGTTTGTTGTTCAGTTCTCGGCAGGCTTCCCAGATGGCATATCTAAAAGTCTTGATTGATGCTCAATGTCTCTTAATTAAAAAGTTGCTTTCGTTAACTACTGCGGTGCACAGAGATAGACATGCACATGATGCAGCATGAAGGCAACCACTGGGGAGGGGGCTAAAAAGCCCCCAAAAAATGACAACAACATCAACAGTGGGAGACGCAGCATCTCAACGGAGGACAAAATAAAAAGACACATTGTGTGTGTGTTCGTTCTCTGCTTCTGCATGCTAAGTGGGAAACAAAGCCAAGGGCGTGATGGAGCCTGCCAGAACGGACGCTTCCCCTCCTTCGTTTAGCATGAAATTAAACATTTGTAAAGGGGGTTTTGAAGTAGTTGTGATTTTTCTCCCTGCTCTGCCCTCTCGACAGCTGCTTTGATATCGATCATGATGCCATGCTCTGCAGTGTTTTTAGCCTAATTAGTGGCTCAGCCCTGAGATGAGCAGCAGGGCGGCTGAAGATTTGTACTTGTGTCTCAAAGTCATGCTTTGCTCAGAGATCTCAGTAGTGAAGCCTTCGTCGGGATGATATAAGCTCCTGTGAAGAACGATAGATGTTGGAAAAGTAGGTTTGCTTTGAGACGGTCTGACAGGATGAACATCTTCTGAAACAAGTCATCCATTTAAAATTAGAGCAAAACAGATTAGGCTATATGTATTATTAAGAAGGGCTAATGGGTTCAGAATTGCCACCATTTCAATTCTAGTTAGCTTACTACTTCAGGACATGTGGATATGGTTTCCAGGACGATCAAACCTGTGGCTCCTCACATGTTTTCAGTTGTATTAACTGCTATGCTTTGGCAAAAAAAAATACAATACTTTGTTCCTAATTTAAAATGAGGTTTGAGTAAAGATTAAATGCCTGTCACTGTGCTTTTAACATTTCCGATTTTGTATTATATCTTGATAAATCAAACATAAAGGGTGTTCATATTTAAGTAGCTCTTCTATGATGTGTTCATTTTTGAAGGGGAGTTTTATTATGACTACAGTTTTCTTCTACTCAGTGTTCATAGGCGCGTTCTGAGTGTAGTCTGATATTGTTTTTGAAAAGCGCTTTCAACAAGGTTCAAAACAACGGCTTTACAGAGAACAGAGGGCATAATTGCAGATAAAACAAGAGATGAAAACATGAAAAAGCGAGCACAGCACACACAGAGATATCAGTCTGTGTTTGTGTGTGTGTTTCCTTCCAGTTCTGAATATATATAAAGGCCATATGCTTTGAAATAGAAAGATTTCACCTTTCCTAACAAAGGTATCTTGTTAGGAAAACCTTTCAGTCAACTACTACTTCATTTTCTCGGTTGCAAATAAAAAGAATTACACCAAAACTCATCTTTCAGAGGCATACATCAGTTCAACACAGTATTGTTATGGGTTTCCCACATTGCTCTAACCTAACCTTTTATGTGCTTTACCCCACAGACCATTGAGTTTGACGAGGGTGCCGGCGCCGTACTCAGAATCCAGCCTCTCAGAGCACCGCGGGATGAGAACATCTATGAGTGCGTTGCTGAGAACACCGAGGGCGAGATTACTGTCAATGCCAAGCTGTCCATCATCCGAGGTGAGTCCTGCATTATGAAAAAGTGTGCAGAGGGCGTAACTACAATATAAATCATTAAAGTGGATGTCCGCAAGCTCCTCAGGTTTTTTGTGATGACATCTTGCCTTGGAGTTTGGAGTGAGAAAGGGCTGTGCTTTGCTTACAACTTCTGCAAGTAGGGTTCTTATATTTGTCTGGAAAGCCATTTTGGCTCTAAAACATTTTCATCTGGGTCATATGTTTGGTACAAGATTGTCCTTTAAAACTTAGTGATTATATTAAATTCTGTTTTAGAAACATCTAAAAATGTACATCTGTACCTGAAATTGGTAAAAGCATTTATATGCTGAGCCCTTATATGATAACATTGTTAGATTCATTATTTCTAAAGAAGCCACATTATATGTGAAAATGTGGTAGATAATCTCTTAAAGCTTTTGTGCAGCTGCACGACACAGCTTAAAATAACCCATATTCACTTCAGCAGATGGACAGTGTGAAGGCTGTATATCAAGGATCCATCAATTTGATGAAACTAATCAGCTCTCTATTCATGAAAGAGCTGAACTGCTATTTACTCGTGATGGAAACCTATAGGATCCCTAGATGAAAAAGATTGATTGGTCACACACACATAGTCAGGGCGCAGTGGTGGACAGATGTGTCTGCAGACGCACTCTCACGCATAAGCAGGTGTAAAATAACTAAACCACTGAACTTTGTGGGCTTTTTATTGATTTGTCCCTATACGTGCTAGTTTAGATTCATCAATATATATATATATAAAAGTTTTTTTTTTCGTTGGTATATATACATTTTTTTCCTGTTGTTTTTTCTGCTGTAGCTTAGAGGTCATGGAGGATGGTATTATAGGCAAGCTTGTGGTCACACACTGCCACTTTTTCTCTTTCGTTCTACCTGTCTCTGTATGCCTCAGATACAGTCACGCACGCACGCACACACACACACACACACACACACACACACACACACACACACACACACACACACACACACACACACACACACACACACACACACACACACACACACACACACACACACACACACATACATTGCATTCTCTTCTGTTCTCTCCTGCCGCCATCTGCCATGTTTCCAAGGCTGGATGAAGCTGAGCTATTGCTGGCTGGCTGGCAGTGCACAAGCTAGGCCTTCCTGGCTGTCAAATCCACAGGCAGTGTGGTGGGGTGGGGAGTTGGACCAGCGTTTGGAAGCCTGGCCCAGCATCCTGGGTTGATTATTGTTAGCAACACACCCCCATCCTGGAAGCTTGCTGGTGGGTGCTACTAGGGTGTGGGTGAGTGCTTCAGGTGCCCTTAAACTTGATACATTTTGAAATGTATCAACTTCTACTTATACCATAGCCGACTGATGTACATTCAGTAAGCAGTAAGCTTATGTTTAAGTACATTTAAGGACACGACTAATTATGAATCAAACTTTCAGTCTGCATCACCAGATTTGTGCTTTAAGCACCAACTTCAAATGATGTTATTTTAACATATGTTATTCATAGTCAGAACCAAATGTATTTATGGATTGCTGTGAAAATCATCCTTTAAAAATAAACAATTGACACAGACAGATTGAAAAACAGGGAACAAGCAGACCACTACAAGCCCAGGCATGTGCACATGGTGTGTGCTTGTACACAGTGTGTGAGTGTGTGTGAAAGAGCACAGGGCAAACCCAGGCGGTCCACAGGAGCAGAGGGAAAATGAAAAGTTATTGGAATCAGCTCAACAAGGTTTCCTCCTGAGCCTAGAGGAAGACAGCAGCTCTCCTGCCCATGCAAGACCCGGCAATGAAGGAGGGATGAAAGTGGGGATGATGGGGGGTAAAGGTGCAAGACGAGCAGCAGATGAAGAGAGCAGTACATTCTCTCTGTTTTTTATATTTAATGAGGTCGGGGCCCCTTGCATTAATGCATTAGGAACAAGATGATTGAATGTAGGGAGGGAATGAATGTAGACATGGAAGTGGAGCAAACCAGAGGAATAAATAAGGGAATCAAATGAGAAAGGTTGGCCAAAGATGAAGGGAGACAACAGGGGGTGTTGCTCACGGTTGGCAGTGTAGAACAGGTGAGGAGGACAATAGCTGAACCTGGGTTCTTGGAACAGGGGCAAAGGATTATAGGATATAGGACAAGGCACAAGAGACACATCCCGACTAAACAGAGGGGTTGTGGTATGGGATCTGGAGAGGCAGAAAATGGGTCGCCACGATGGGTGACTTGGCTGGAAAGCTGTTGATCTAATTTGTGGGAAAATACAGCTGCATGAACAGCATTGCTACCACTCATAAATAGAATAAGATACATTTAAACAAACATGGATGACTTGTACACTAATGTAATGCTTGCCTGGGTACACGCTTACTAACAAAGGGTCATGAAGCTCCATAAACACACACATGATCATGAACTATTTTAACTTGTGTACAAATAGACATCATTCTTCACTCACAATAGCAGCATTCCACATAAACAGGCTCATGCAAGTCCCTGTTGATCACACATGCATACAAACACAAGCCTTTTGTCCACCAGCTTTTCCTGTCTTAGTGAAAACTCATCTGCCTTGACACTACTGGGTTTGCGTTTGAAAGGAAATTGACAACAGCAAAGTGCTCACCTGCCACATACTTAATTGCTTGTCTGCGCTGATAAAGATATGCACACATACTAGCGGTGTGCACACACACATTACGTCTCCCATCACATACTGGTCATACCCATAACTTACATCTACAAAAACATGTACACTAAACAGGATGCAGACATTCTGAAACAATCAAATACTTTAGATTCCACATACTTGTATTCATAGATACAATAGAGACAGGCTTAACTTAAACCATATTTAGAATGACAAAACCCCACCTTCTCATTTGGTGTGTGTGTGTGTGTGTGTGTGTGTGTGTGTGTGTGTGTGTGTGTGTGTGTGTGTGTGTGTGTGTGTGTGTGTGTGTGTGTGTGTGTGTGTGTGTGTGTGATGTGTGTGTGTGTGTGTGTGTGTGTGTGTGTGTGTGTGTGTGTGTGTGTGTGTGTGTGTGTGTGTGTGTGGTGTGTGTGTGTGTGTGGTGTGTGTTGTGTGTGTGTGTGTGTGTGTGTGTGTGTGTGTGTGTGTGTGTGTGTGTGTGTGTGTGTGTGTGTGTGTGTGTGTGTGTGTGTGTGGTGGCGGCGATGGCAGGGTGCGTTTAGCAGCGAATGTGACACCTCCTTGGCTGTTGCTACACTGCCTCAGCTGAATACCTAAGATGGGGGCCATCTGGTTCCACTAAGACTTGCACACAGTCCTCTGGGAGTCCTTGGAGAGGGACTGACAAGCGTATGAAGCAAAGAAAGGCAAAGTTGCCACTGGGATACTGTCAGCTCATGCTGTTATGGGGAGATCATGGGGAGCTATCCCGCTTTGTGTGCTTGTATTTTACACAGCTGCAGTCTTAAGACCTATGACTACTGTAGCAAATCTCCCCTGTGGCATCCCAATGAGTAAATGTGATTGATGAGATTTGGTATGATAATCATTTTTTTTTGTTGATGAAAAACAATGATGTGTCTATCCTTATGTTTGGAAAAAAACACCATTCAGATCACAGTAAGCCTGAGCTGTTCTAGAAGCAGTAAAGAAAACAAGTTTATTGAGTCAGACCTCAGAAGTGAAGCCATGGAGCTGCAGTTTGGGCTGTTTAAATCAGCAGACACACATGAGAATACACACAGTGCCGTTTCCTGGTTTCGCCATATGATACCAGACCTAGCCATTACCTTAATTGTTAGCCTTACACCTTTGTGCACAAACACAGTCACACTCACATCCTGCTGATTTTCCTTTGCCATTCCCAACCAGGTGGAACCAATCAAACACACCCTTCTATTTCCATCTCCCAGCACTCTTACTCTCTCCGAAACCTTTCCAATCATCTTGCTTTCTCTTTGTGTATGCCAAGTTACAAGTCTGGTTTGCATCCACAGCACTGACATGTATATCTTTTTTTTTTGCCTCCAACCCCTCTTCCCCTGCTTTCTCTGGTGCATCTTATTTTTGATAATAATTTGTTCCAATGTAAAGAAAACTAGTGTCAGCCAAGGTAAAAGCAGTCTGTGTAAATGTCACTCTGACGTTTACAATTGTTGGCAGAAAAAAAGCGTTACCATATTTCTATGGATTCAGCCATGTCCAACCATGTAAAAAGGAAATATATTTACCGGTTTAATTGTTTTTACGTTGTTTGCACAAGTGAGGTTTTGTTGTTTTGCTACACGGGGATTCAGATCGCTGCATGTGCCGTTTCATTTGGTGGTTTTAAATTGCCTGGAAACTCCGAAGATCTGCCACACTGTGACGGTCAGGTTTGGGAACGCACCCACTATTACTCAGAGGGGAGTTGGGGCGTAGCCTGCCTACTGTTTGATCAGTCTGTCTGCTAATTGGCCGCTCACTTGTGAAGGAGCAGGTGATGATGAATTTTAATGGGCTTCTGGATCCTGCTCCATGCACAGTCTGTGCATAGATCAAGCCCAGTGAATTCTAGGTACCTTTGTATGGGACAAGGGTTGGGAAAGCAGGATGGAATGGGGGAGTGAGGCAGACGGACGAGCAATGATGAAAGGGGAAAAAGGTGAGCCCCAGCAAGAGGAAAAAGTGAAAGCTAAAGGGATTGAAACCAATCATTCTTTCAACCAGTTGTAGCTCCGGGCCAAGCCTTAAGACATTCCATTTCCTGTCTTCACCTTTGCTTTATGTTCTCCACCTACCCTTTTCTGACTCTCTCTCACAATATCTCCACCATTATGTTCTAGTGTCAATTTAAAACAAACTGCAGGAAGTAGAATACAATTTCAGATACATTATTCGGGGTAGACTGGAACACATAAGGTCTAGATCCTACATAGTGGGTATGCTTATTCTTTTTCAAATGTATATCCTTTAACAGACAAACATATTTTATCTTAGTATTAAAATAATTTGCTGTTCTTAGACACGTGTTGA